GAATAGAAGAGGGAGGGGCTAGAGAGATGACTCAGCAGTTAAGAGTACTCCCTGCTCTTGCAGAAAACCACAGTTCTCCATGTTAGGCAGCTCACAACTGCCTGTATGTAACTCCACCTCCAGGGAATCTGACACCCACTTCTGGTCTTTGTGATTACCTGTACTCAAGTACACATACACCTCCCCCAAATGATTTAAAGTAAAACAAATCCTTAAAAAAAGAAGAATAAAAGATTGAGCTGATGAATAGGGCACAAGCCATTTATGAATGAACCCCTTCTCTGTTAGCTTGTTCTGTTCAGCTCTTGTAAGGAACAAACAGTAAAGGTTCTATTTATTGGGGGATCTGGTTAGCTGCCTAAAATGAATCAGAATTTAGATTCACTAAATTAGGTGTCATACAGTGTAGCCCAGGGTACCTGGAACGTGTGAAAACACCTGTGCCTCAGCCTTCGAGGACTGGGATAGCAGGGATGTGCCACCATGCCTGGCTAAAATAGCCTTCTTTCTGTTTCTTAAATTTTTAAAAATTTTTTTTTATTGATTTGTGTGTGTGTGTGTGTGTGTATGCATGTGTATTTCATACAGAACATCCCAGACAATCTTATTCATCTTTATACTCACATCCAAAATAGTTCCCTCCCATACACCTCCTCCCCTCCAAGTGGAGCCCATATACTCTGTCCATCCCTGTTACTGTCCATTGTGTTGTCAGTGCCCCCAGCCATTCCCCAGTACAAGTCCATCCACTGAGTCTAGTCAGCCTATCTAGTGTCCCTTGTTTTAGGAAGATCAGCTCTCCCTCAGCTAGCAGCAATCAGTTGCCAACATTCCTTTAAATAAGATTGTTCATTTTCCAAGTTCTGTGCTGGGTTACTGTCTGGGAATCTTGGGCCACCCTGGCCAACAACTCAAAGGAAGGTATCTCCTCTCTGGCATTGTTTCTTGTTATATAGCCTTAGGTATACATATGGACTCTTAAAGAAATATACTGATCACTTAAATCTTTGGTTATTGCGGGGGGTTGGAGCCAGTGACCCCAGCGCAGTGATGATTAGGCGTGAGTAAGCTCGCCGTTCGCCAGCCCATGCCGCCCCCAGTACCGGGGACAATCAGACGCAACGGGGAGCCTAGTCAAGCAGGGACTCATTTATTGCAGGTGTTACAGAGCTTATAAAGGCATCTGGAACTCCCCCCCCCCCCAGGGTGTATCTTAGGGATGGTCACGTGCTGATCATGCACTCCTTAGCAGTGCAGAAGTATTCTTCAGTCTTTCAAAGCAAGTCAGGCCGTGCCCCAGTAACTTCCTCTTGGACCTCTGTATGGTGGGGCCTTTAGGTCCCCACAGGTTATATTTTCCTTTTGGATATTTAAG